AGAAGCATCTTGATTGTTGGTAAGGGCACTTGAATATCTGTTTAGGATATGACCAGTGTGGGTGCATTCAAGACATGCTTTGCGATGAAACAAAGTCTAAAAATAAAAAGTACCTGTTATCGTATTTGATTATCAGACGAATAGACCACCTTATTAACCACACTATTTTAAAGTAAATGCTTATTTCTCCTTTTGCATGACCTTGTCTAGATGTATACTGTCTTTGATGTTGTCATTGTGGTGAAGTTAAAATATCACCTCTAAACTGGACATCGTGGGGCATGCCTATAATCCCAGCTACTTGAGAAACTGAGACAGAAGAATCAAGTTCAAGGTCAGCCTTGACAACCTTGTGAGGCACTGGTCTCAAAATAAAACAGGAAAAAAATAAAAGAGTTGGGAATGTAACTCAGAGGTGGGGTACTTACCGAGTATATACGAGACCCTTGTTCAATCCCTATACAGAAAAAAAAATTATAAATTATATTCTCCACTTCTTCCTTACTCTACATCATAGACACAGTAAGTGATCTTGGGGGCTGAGCCCTTAATGGCCCAACTGTGGATTTGATGAATTTCTGTCACTCCATTAGTTCTTTCTCGGTCTAATGCAAACTTCCTCCAAAACTTGGTTGAGCCTTTCTTGGAATAGGAGGTTCTTCCACTTTTTTTGAATATGACAACAGAACTTGAAGAAAATGACCATCTTGTAGACATTCTTCCAGGATCCCTCTTAGGAGCCTTAAAAAACAATTCTCAGTAGAGCTGATGGCATGTTCTAGGGTATGAGGTGAGCAGAGTGTGAAGGCCAAGAGCTATTTTCAGTTCTGGTTTTGTGGTGACTCCTGACAAAACTTGTGTCATCTTTTCAGGGTCTGAAAAGTTCAGCCTCTATCTCAGCTCTGTCCACGTAGAAAGTCAGAGGGCACCCGGTCTCTGTTCCGCCATCTTGACTCCACTGGCCAGAGGCTGTAAGTTGGGGAACACCTATGAAGAGCAGGCTTGACTGCTGTGTGTCTGGAGGGGTGGGAGGCTGTGCCTCCTTGTAGTTTGAGAGCAGCTGAGAGGTGGTATCAAGAGCACCTTAGAGTCAGAACCCCCTGCGTTCAAATTTGACTCTGCCACCGGGTATTTGAGTGACTTTGGTTGACTTATGTAAGCATCTAAGTTTCTTCATCTGGAAAATGGGGTTAACCGATTTCACAGGGCTATTGAAAGAATTCAATCAAACAAAGAATGTGAAAGTACCTGGAAAAATGCTTGTGAGTAAATAATTTCGGAATGGAAGTCAAGGAGAAATATTCAGTTTAAGCACTTGCAGTGAATCTCTTTGGGTAAGAGTAGATAAATTAAATTTAAATTCTGGGAATTTTTTTTTTCTCCTGTATGATCAACTTTGGTTTTGTATTGTGATCTTGGGAAAGAAATGCTGTTGGTTAGTACTTTTTTTCTTCACCGGGGACAGTGAGCAGCAGGGAAATGTGATGATCATGGTAATGGGAACCCTTCAAGTCAAATTTTGTTTTAAGCTGATTGAGACCACAACCGGTGGTGGTCCTGGGGCAGACCTGGGGGGCAGCATGCAGAATGTTCCTAACCCCATGTCTGCTCCAGGCAGCTCACATGACTAACTGCAACTTTGTATAACATTGTCCACCACTAAAATTCTTATTTCCTCTCCAGACATCCACTAACCACAGCTGTAGAAAGCATTAACCTTGAGCATTTTGCCTGGACAGTGTAAGGTCTGCTTCTTAGTAAATTGTTCAGATGTTCTGACCATAGGGAAGTGGTTTCAAGCGACTGAGTTGAACAAGTAGTCCTTGCTGTTAGTAAAACAGCCAGAGTTCCTAAACTGGCATCCAAGGGTTTCTCAGTGTCCATGGAGAGAATTCAGGGCACCTATGAATTTGGATGTGAAAAACTAGATTACTAATTGCAATAACCTCTAATTAAAATTTGCTATTTTCTCTCAGTATAAATTTAGGCAAAATTCCACATTAGTATTAGTTGCAATTAGTTACCAAGAGAAATTACAAGCATTTTTCTGTTGCATTATACTTACAGCAGATTTATTAAAATATTGACATTTGACATCTCATAGGTTATTAGACATGTCCTAGATATTCTTTTTTATTAATTCTTTTTATTTATCTATGACAGTGAAATGCATTACAATTCTTCTTACATATATAGAGCACACTTTTTCATATCTCTGGTTGTATACAAAATATATTCACATCAATTCGTGTCTTCATACAAAAGAAGCCTATGCTACTATATTATATTTGTCTTAAAAAATATTTTGATAATTAAGGCAAATGAGAAAGGGCCTACAGACGTCAACAGATTGTAAAATGAGTTCATAGTACAAATAAAAGTCTTGGAAACCCTAATTTACAGCATTCTCTTGCATGGGGCTAATGAAGTAACTACAGAAGAGCATTAGCTGATATTCTCTGTCATATGGGGGAATGTGTTCTTCCTGCTTCTGGGAAGTCTTGGGGTTGTGGAGGGACCTTGGCACAGAGAAGACGATAATAATAGTAGGAATGATTAGAAGAGCTAATATCGCTCGGCGCCTGCTGCCGGCCAGGTGGTTAAGAGCATTTTCAGTGTCATATTTTGTTTTATCCCCCTCCCCCACTTCTGAGAAGGCAGATCACGGGGCAGTCAGAGACAGAAGAGATGTCTCCAGCCACAGTGGTGATAGAGCCTTGGTACAGCAAAGGCTAGAGTCAGAGAGGGGTGCTTGGCTTGCACAGCTAGGTAGACTCAGCAGTTATTGTCTTGGAAGTCCTAACAAGTTTCTGACAAGGGGCTCTGCATTGTATTTTTGCTCTGAGTCCTGCTTATGTAGCTGTTTGAATATGTGACAGTTGTGGGATTGTTTGATCCTCGACAGTTCCCGATGCTGGGAGTCTGAGAAGCTGCTGTGCAAAGCCCCCTGCAGGTTCCTTCCTTGCCCCTCTAACCAACCACCGGTGGAAAGCTGAGGTCCTTTGAGGAGGGAGAATTGGCTTTTGAATTGGTGAATTTTGCAGTTTTGTTTGAACTCCAAAGTTGTCTTCTGAAACAGCCAGGGGCCAAATCATAGGCTGGAGGGGATCTGATTCTTTGAACAACATTTCTGATTAGTGAGTTGCTGACCTTCCTGATGAGTGTTCACTTTTTATTCTCCAGAGAGCTTGCTGTGTAGGTTCAGAGAAGCAAAGTCTGTTCTCGAAGGGAAAATGAGAGCCGGGGTGCCTCATCTCTCATTCTTATGGAAAGGCACTAAAACAGAGACTGGCTTTCTTGCCTACTGACATTAATGATTATCCAAACAAGGAGAAGACCTTATTTTTGCTAAGAGGTGTCACTCTTAATTTGTGGAAAAATTCACATGTTGTTTGCTTCTTAAGCTGCAAAGAGGATAATGGAATAAGCCTTACATGGTCCCATCCATTTTTTTTGCAGCTAAAATTTCACAAACTGTTCCAAGGTCTGAAACAGGGCCTTGGGCATAGCACAGTGAGGGTGGAAAAGGAGGAGAACTTTGCTAGATTCCTTTCAGTGACAAAGTGCAGGATCCCTGAGTGACACTTTGTAGTCCCTCTCTGGTCCGTGAGATGTTCCCAGCACAAGCCGATCTGCCCTCAGGACCTGTGTGCCGTGCTTAGTTACCAGGTGCCTTCCAAAAGAGTCATAATTCCTCCCTAATTTTCAGCAGATTGTTTTTTCTCCTGCTGTTACTACTGCTTCTTTGTCATGATTAAAGTCTGAGGTGGCTTCAGGCAGTCGCCTCAACCCTTGAGTCCACCTGGGGCTTTCAGCAGAGGTTGGATTGAGGTTTTCTGATTTGTTTTGATTTTGGTGCTGGGGATTGAGCTTGTGCCTGCTTTGCACATCCTCTAGTACCAAGCTGCGTCCCAGGACCCCCAGACTGAAATTTTGATGGATGAGTTCAAAGGCTATGTTCAAAAGTCCTTTGGTAGCATCTGGACTAATGTGCACTCAACAAGAACTTTCATATTAGGGCACAAGGATGAACAGCATACCTTCTACTCATATGGAAGGGAAAAGTTATGAAAGCTGCCCTAAATGAATCTTGACTGTCAAAAGTACAGGGTTCCAAGACACGACTTCTCCTCTTTAGCAATGGAAGGATCTATTTTCAAAGCTATAAAGAAGGACGTTGCTTTTCCCCACCTGTCCCCCAAACACTGAAAATATATCCAGTCCAAAATCAGTGGAGGGAAGGAACCTAGTGGCGGGGGGTGGAGAGAGAGAGAGGGAAGCACCGGGGAGTGATCTTGGCCAAATTATTTTGTTATATTTTGTGTTGTGTGCACGTACGAATGTGTATCAACGAATCCAATCAGTACGGATGACTATAAGGCACCCATTTAAAAGTGTGGGCAAAAAAAATACATCCAGTCCATTTACCAGATCTGTGTCTTGGGTGAGTTGTTTAACTTCTCTGTGCCTCCTCATCTGTGAAATGGGGACATTGGTGCGTGATGTTTAGGGTTCTCCTGAGGATTGAGTGAGGTTATTCACGTCAAGCCTAGCTCAGTTCGTAGCAAAGGGTAAACAGCAAACAGGAACCACCTCCCTGTCATAGTTTTTTGCTGTTGTCTTGTAATTATACAGTTTGTGGGACCTTCCCTTAACTTGAACAACTCCGTCTTTTCCTGGGAGGAAATCTGACTCTCAAAATGGTCAAATGGGTTGCCTTGGTCCATCCCACCCCTCCCTGGCTCCGATCCCCACCCCTGGCCTCTCTCCACCCTTCCCGCATTCCTGCACAGTTGGTCTTCTTTCTTTTCCAGTCAACTAAGGGTGTTGTTAAGTCTTTTCTCTTTTGGTTGCCTGATTTGGTTCGAGGCACTCCACTCCCTGCCCTGCTCCTGACAAGAATGCTTGGGAGAGTTCAGCCAGCCATATCCCTCCCTCATTGGATCACCCTGTTCTTAACGCTGCCGGAGAAGCTGCCTTCGTTGCCCTTTCCCCACGGCCGTGACACTCCCATTAATAAGCTAGTGGTCTGGTGGTAATGAAGGCCCCAAGGCTGAGAGAAGCGGGTGGAAAGTGGTTTTCTGGGGGAACGCTGGAGGTTGTTTCTGACTGCTGTCTTCTCCAGTTTAAAAAAAGAGATGTTCAGAAGCTTCCTCTGACTTGGCTTGCTGATGGCTGGGCGATGATGCCATGGCTTAATTGGTGTTGTTCACGATCTCCATTTGAGTGATTGGTTTGGCTCTTTGTGGCCCTTTTGGACCTTCGCTCATCATGTGATACTGACAAACTCATGAGAAATAGGAACACCACGATGCTTGGATTAGGACAGAAATCACCCCTCAAACTTCTCAGGCCGTTCCTCCTGGGACCTCAGATCCCCTGCTAGAACATGAGCGAGTCTACACAGCCTGCTTTTGAGGTAGGTGTGGGTACCTTTCTTCCTATGGTCCAGGGACTGGTGGTTTTCAATGTATGCTCTTTGCCCAGGGTTGGACACAGGACATGTGTGAGAGAGGTTACACTGAGACCAAAGGTGGGGGGAGGTAGTACTGCTGAGTCTCCGCTTTGGGAGGTAACCGTGGACCACACCTACTCCCTAAAGCATATTGACTTTCGGAAGTCAACCATTTGGAAGAGCGTGGTTTGGGTTTCGATCACATCCCAGCAACCCCTTCTCTGCCCTTGTTAATCTGATCCGTGATCTGAGGCTGGGCTGGTTGGAGGCTGGCCATATCACTCTGCAGACCTTGGACACCCCTCAGTGCCCTCGTGGAACCAGCCAATGGAAAAGTACAAGGTCTTCTGACTTCTTGGCCCTGCCAGCTCCTGCGGGCCTGTTTGATACCTCCTTTCATTCTGAGTGGGAGGATAGCATCCAAACTGAAAGCGCAGGTTTTTCTTTGGTTTTTTAATAGGAAAAACAAATTGGCATGAATGCTCAGTAAAACCAGCTCAGGCTGTTTGGGCAGATGCCTTTCTTTGCTTTTTTTTCTGTTTATTTTCCAACAAATCAATGCTTAACTGTGTTGTTATCGGAGCAGAGCAACAGGTGCAAAAAAATAACCCTGCTGCCAACTCAAATGAAAAGGTAGGGCTTCTACCCTCTGGGAGGCATTCAGAAGATAACAGAAGCCCCTGCCAGCAACCGAATTAACAGCTCTGTTGACGGTGGGTTTTGTGTTAACAACCTGCTCCTAACCCTCAGACACATAAACACACCATTGTCCTGGGACAAGACATCCAGCCACCCAGACAACCAACGGCTTTATGCTGCCCTGAGTGGAGATTGGTTTTGGCTGAGGTTGTTTTGTGAAACTCGCAAAGTATCATGTGGTCTGCCAACTCCGCGTCTTAGCAAGGGCATTCTGTGAAGGCAAGGCCATGGGGTGGCTGCAGAGGAGAGGACCAGTCCTGATTTTTAAACCTGTCAAAATTCTTTGCAAGGTTGGTTAGGTCCACATGCCAGAGTGGGTGGCTCTGAGTGCTCTGCTCTCGCTGCATTTATCCCCAGTTGGAGGTGGGGATGAGCTTGCACGGCTTTGGAAAAAGCTGCTATTGTTTTGGAAGTGTGTCCTTGCTAAAGGTCCATCAGGACTGGGCTGTGTCTGTGTTCTGTACACTATAGTCTCTCTAGCATCTAGCGTGATGCCGAGCATCTAGTAGACAGTTTATATATAGATGTGTGTACGTATATATATGTGTACACATATATATGGATATTTATACACACATATATGTATATACATATATACATATGTGTGTGTGTGTGTGTAAACTGGAGAGAATAAATAAATATTTGTAATAGACAGTATTTCTTAGGCATAGTTTATGTCCCCTAAAGGCTGAGATGTCAATTTTCTTGGGTATGAGGCCCCTCATCCAAGTGGTTGAATAAATTTTTTAAAAGGAATAAGCTAATTTAATCAAACAAAACAAATTTATATTCATTAAATAATCTTTTGAAGGACTAAGGTGGGGGTTGGATGGGGCTGGGGTTAAGCCAACCAGCCATGGGATTCTCTAGATGGAGGAATCATCATAGAAATCCTTTATGAACACTGTTCTGGGCCAGGTTGTGTTTTCCGCCTTGAGAGGTGCATATCTGTGAATAATCAAATATTGATGCATTTAACAGTTTGGGGGTACTGACCATTAGGAACTTTTTATTCCAAACAGACAAATAATACCATGATACGTTCTCCCCAGGTGGATGGGGGCTTGAATTCTCCTAATTGAATCTTTTGTCTCTGACTCTATAAAGATTTTCTTGTGTTGATGGACATTTCCTTCAAGGCTGATGCGTCCTGGAGTTAGTTATCTTGAGGTGGGAAAGTGAGCCTACGGATCCCAAATTGTCAACTCGGAGACTGCTCAAGAATTTTTTTAAGGCAGGTTCTTGGAAAGTGGACTCCGATTTCTAGGTCTGGAGTGGAACCCTAGAAAGCGTCAAGCTTAGCCCTTCCTTAGGTGGTGATGGTTCAGTGGCCTGTGGACCAAACCAAGAAACAGGTATGTGGCCTCTTTAGCCAAGTAGAAAGAAAACATCACACAGATCATCCACGATGCTTCCATCTCCACATCTCTGCCTTAATCAAGACCCACAAAGACCCACAGGTGTAATAAGAAAGGAAGCCTGTGGTTTTGCTATGTCGTCTTTATGTTATGGTCACTTGCTTTTAGAATAGTATAGTTCCTGCTTCAACTGCAGCTGCCCTGGTCTTAGTGTAGGAAAATAGGCCACGCCCACGCCAGGTAAGAAAGCAGGACTGAAATCTCTCTCATGTCTCCCAACCTTGTGTCTATGACAAACTTTTAAAATTCCAATCTAACACGAGTGCAAGAGAGATTTCTTTACCCTCCTTGGCGTCCGTAGATCTTCAGGGGCCGATGGCGATCTTTAGAGGCATTGGGACCCACGGAATACATGCAAACTGAAAGTGGACGTGCCTTCTTGGTAGAAGGACAGGGCCTTCGCTTCTTTTGAGGTCTCACAAGGCTCTGTGACCTTTTCAGATTCAAAGCTTGTCCTATTCTCAGTTGTCCTATCTGAACAGGATTGATAAGCAGATGATTGAAAGCAATCTTGTCTTTTGATCAATTTGGTGCCTGCCGCTGTCAGAAGGTTTCCTTTTGTCTGGTTCTGGCACCAAGAAGGATAAAGATCAGCGTACTATGGATATTTCCGAATGACTCACAGTTAATAAGGTGTACCTATAATGGATCCAGGCCCGTCAACCCAGAATCGCATTATTGATCCTGAAAATGCTCGAAACCCCAAGAATCATATGTCCAATGTTGCCCCTGGGAACATGAAATGTCTTTCAAAACACATTATGAAGGTAGAAAATGACCTGTGATGCAATCCCAAAGGAACAAATGCATTCCCCAAGCTTGATTCACATTTTGATTCATTTGTAAAAGCACAATTATTGCCTGTGTTGTATTCAGTTACATTTCCCACGTTCATGAATTTTCTCTTCTCTTACTTGGGAGTAGTCCTTTGAAATGACAGTCATATTGAAACAGGAAGTCAGTAAGCTGTTGCAACACCCTTAGGACAAATGCTGTGAATTCACCTGCCAGGAACTTTGATAAAGGACTGAGAATGGTGTGGATGTCACCATTATAGCAAAAGTAATTATTTAAAAGGCCTAATTGCTCTTCTGGCTTGAGGAAGAAAAACGTCCCATAGCAGCTAGTTCTGTGGCAGTTTGGAGACAAGGAAGAAGGCATGTGGTGGCCTCAGCTCAGTCCCCTGGGGTGGGGAGCGATGCAGACACCAACCCTACTCAGTTCTATCTGTGACACTGGTTCCCAGTGCACTTCACTCTTGCAGGTCTAAGGTCTAATCCAGGTACAGCCCAAATAGCTATGGACCAGTTTATTTCTC